CACCCTTTAGCCAGAGGAAGGGCGGCTCAGGCGGTGTCCCTTCACGGCAGAGCTGCAGGTGGCACAAGTCACGTCTGTCAACGGGACCCTCCTGAGCTCGCACCCCTCGCCACCCTCTTCTCCAGGTGAGCTCATGCTCCACATGATGGGGAAAAGAGGGTGATCCCAAATATCCACTCTCTGAATTCAGGGAATGCTATTTAATTGAAGGGCAGCGTTTGCCTTCTTTTCACAGCCTTGGACTAGGGTTTGAGGGCTCCTTTGCTGCCCCAGGGCCACTGTATGTTGCCAGGGCCGGTATGGGCTTACCCTTCCGTGGGATGGCACTACCCCATCCCAGGAGCAGCCAGTGAGAAGGAAGAAAACACCTTGTGGCATCAACCTTCTCCCCGAATGAATCAAAACAGGGGGAAAATGGGGTTTCAAAAGGTTTCCCGTGAGGTGCAACAAAGCATCTGCTTAGATCGGAGCCACGCTGCGATCCTACCGGAATTAAGTGCAAGTGCCTCTCGCAATGCAGGCTTCAAAATAAAACTAAACCACATGAAAACATCACAGCAAGGTGTCACAGGATTCCTTGTGATTCGTCCCCCACTCAAACCTGCGGCCAAATTAAACCCAACCCCGTCGGTACGTTCACAGCCAACTGCCACCCCAAGCTCTGGTGAGGACAACAGGGAGCTTGAGGCCTTGTCTTTCTCCCGGGTCTGCTGAGTGGAGCTGTTAAAGGAACAGCCACGTCTCCCGGTGCTCCGTAGGGATTCAGTGGAGCTCAGTGGGAGCGCACAAGCACTGGCCAAAGTAAGAGGAGGACTAGAAATATGTACAATATTTAAAAGCTCATTTTGATGAAGAGGAAGACACCCACATACCTCTTTTGTGCTTCTTTAGAAGATGAGGATGGCACGGAAGACGTCTTATCGATGGTTCTTGTGAACACCCCTCTGGGGAGAAAGAGGGACGTTACATTTTTCACTGGACAGAGTTTGGAACTAAAATTAAGAGATTTGCAGCCACTCTTCAGCCTAACTCTGTAAATCTTGCTGGGAGGAAGGTGCTCAAGACACAGGGAATTAGAAGGTGCTTCCTCGGGAAAGCCATCCTGCGAAAAGTCCTACTCTCTGGCCTGAGGCAACGTGGTAAAACCAGCTCACACACAGGTTTGGGTATGAAGAGATTTACAGCCACTCTTCAGCCTAACTCTGTGAATCCTGATGGAAGGAAGGTGCTTAGGACACTGGGAATTAGAAGGTGCTTCCCTCAGGAAAGCCATCCTGCAAAAAGTCCTACTCTCTGGCCTGAGGCAACGTGGTAAAACCAGCTCGCACACAGGCTTGGGTATGGAATTGGCATCAGAATCTCCGTGGGCAACAGCCCATGTGTCCGAGGAAGCCGAAGCGCACAAGCCCCATCCCTGGAGCTGTGCTGGTCACAGGGATGGTGGAACATTTTCCCAGCACAATAACCCTTCCACGTGTGATCACTATCATAAAAGGAGACCTGATGTTCTGCTAACATCAACCTGCTAAACAAAATACTCAGGACTGTCTCTTCCCTGAGCTCCCTAACATTCCAAACGGGTAAGAGAACCCAAGAGATAGGGATCTTTTTCATGCTTGTTTGTCCTGATCTACTCCTGCCCCTACAACACAAATATGTGCCCCTCTATACCTACCTGATGAGGTAGCCGGACTGAGGCTTGGAGGCGGAAGACCTGTGCAAAGAACAAACACCAGTGAATTAAGGAACACAGGGAAAAACAACAGTGGCAAAACGTGGCCATCCAGCCAAAAATCTGGCTAAATGGGTCAGTAATACCTCAGCTGCTGCACCAAAATTAACCTTGGAAAGATTCTTTAAAGATGAATAATAACCAGAACAAGTTTTTTATAAGAAAAGTGAATTTTAGAGTTAGCCAGGTAAAATTAGCCATGCTGACAGTGTTTTCTGGCTCCAAATTAAATCCCCAGGTTGATGGCACAGAGGGGAAGTTAGATATAGTAGAAATCCTGCTGGTTTTATCTCAGGAAAATGCCATCTTCACACTAATTTCTCAGGAAGGGAGTGCAGCTTAGCTCCCTGGAGGGAAAGGAAAGGGACCACAAGGGACCTGCAACAAGAAGTGACAAGAGCTGGCACAGAAAAAGGGAGTGGAAGCAGGAAACAGCTCATGGGAGAGGTTAATGCCCTCCAGCAGTGGCACTGCACCTAGCAAAGAGCTCGCACATATGCCTAAGCCCTTTCCAGCAGTTTATGCTTTAGGATACTGGGCCTACAGGCTCCTGGGTGCCTGAGGAGCCCTCATGCTCTGTCCCTGAGGGTAATTCAGCTCCCACACAGGGCTTTGCTTGCTCTGAGGAGTCCCCACGCTTAAAGCGTATGGCTGCTACACCAGCACAGGAGCTGATGTGCACCAGTGATCTGGGATCATGGGCTCGAGGCATCCCTTCATCTGCTTTAAAGACATCAATCCATCCATCTGGGCGTCCAGGAGACAATCCATGCTCCCTACAAGGCGACAGTTTGTGATGTTATACTGAGCACACAGCCTCTCCTCAAGGACTGTACTGCTCAGCGCAACCGCAGCGGTGAGCGGGTGTGAGGAGGTGAAGGCGGAGCACAAGAACCTGTGAAAGCAAGCACCGACCCCAAGAGATAACACAGATGGGAAGGAACAGGATGGGTCCCCAAAATTACCTGTCGCTCTGGGGAGCAATAGGTGTTGAGGCTGGGGATCCCCCACCGGCACGTCCAGCCCTGAGTACAGAGAAAACACAATGACACAATTAACTTCCGACCTCCCTGGGCTGCCGTGCTGGACACGGCAGGGATGTTTTTGGAGAGAGGTGCTAAGAGAGGATGGATTTGGACTTGGTTTTGTTTCTAATTCAAGAGAAGCTGCTGCAGGTTGTGGTGTTCCCCAGTGCAAGAGTGGCTGTGTGACAGCCCTGTGAGCTGCAGGGGGGATGCAGACCCGGCCGTTTTATCATGTAAACTCCCTCCCATCAAGATCTGTCCCTTCCTTTGTCATTCCAGAGATGGTAAAACAATCTGGCTTCAAAAAAAACACGTTGGAGTTCTGAAATTCCAGACCTGCCTGTGCTGCTGGATTCCCAGCTCCCAGGAAAGGCCGTTTCTCAGTTTCTCCCCAGCCTGTGTTTATCAAAAATAAACAGGAGCACTTCTTCCCTTTGGCAGTATAATTTCCTGCCATCACAGGGACCCCAAAACAAGCTAGTACCGCATGTGCTGCCTCTGCAGGCCGGAGAACAGAGTGCTCATGGGAACAGAGAGGGAGAGGAGGAGCCTTGCTCGGTGGCCACACTTACAGCGGGCTGCTCTTCTCATCCTCGGAATCCGAGTTATGGTGGTGGATCCAGCTCTTGTCTCCTTTCAGTGTGGTGCGAACCTTCATCTGCTTAATGATCCTCCTGCGGTCTTCATCCGAGGGTGGGATGACACGTCCTAGGATGTGGAAAGGAAGGAGAGAGAAGGGCAAGAATTCAGAGTACCAGCAGGTGAGCTGGGGTGAATCCCAAGAGCAGGGAGCACGGGTTTCCTTGCAGAGATTCAAACACTGATTGAGCCTTTTGCCACTCGTGATGGAAGACGGAAACGAGCCGTCATCCAACCTCCAGGATCAATTTACCCCCTCTGCAGAGATTCATGCAGTTTTTCCCTCCTTTCAGAGGGCTGGTTAACATTAATGAGTCATTATCTCTCAGGAAGCCCAAAGACATTCAGTGGGTGGTCTAATCACGTATTTACCAAGCAGTGAGTTTCCCCTGGCATTTCCCATCACATCAGCTCTAGCACAGGGCTTTTTGGGTTTGTGAAGAGGATAATATGGGAATTCATTAGTGTTTTGCTCATCTCAGCCAGGCTATAAGCTTTCCAGCTCTCTGCACCTTCATGGATACTGACATTCCAGCCAAATGCACGTAATTTTGGGGCTGCAGATTGGAGCAGGTCCCACAGAAGGAAGAGGTGTCCTCTACCCTTGGCCACACTGCACGGGGGGAGTCGAGCTGAGATGTTACAGCAGATACAGCTGAGCCAGGAAGGCAAAGGAAAGCCATGACAGTGCACAGAGCCAGCAGCGTGGGATGGGGAAAGGAATTACCTTTACTGACACCCAGGGACATCATGGTTCTTGGAAGCGCCTTCCCCTTCACGTACTGTTTGAAGACAAGCCCCTGGAAGAAATGAAAAAAAGGAAAAGTAGATTAGTAGTTCTGATATAAAAAACTGTGAAGTTATGTGGAAGGGAGGGAGGCTGTGGCGTGTATACTAGAGCTGCGATCCCTGCCCGTGCCACGTACCTTCAGCATCAAGGACAGGGAAACCCAAATCGTAGAATCACAGACTGGTTTGGGTGGGAAGAGACCTTAAAGCCCCCCAGCCATGTGCAGAGAGACCTTCCATAGCCCAGGTTGCTCCAAGCCTCACCCAGCCTGGCCTTGGACACTCCCAGGGATGGGACACCCACAGCTTCTCTGGGCAACCCGTGGACGTGTTCTCCACACCAGTAAGTGTTCAGACTGGCCATGACAGATGTGTCCTTCCAGGTCTGGGAGGAAAGGGGTGGAGGGGACCTGAGCAAACAACCCTGGAGCCACTGGGATAGGACAGACCTTCTGGGGTCTGTAGGACTCCCAAGCTGAGGCTGCTTGGGAAAACCTTGGCCTTTTTGTCAAGGGGGAGTAGAACATAAGGGCTTTTGGCATCTTTCAGCTGGCAGAGATGTGTTATCCCCCAGGATGCAGCAGAGAGAACGTCCTACTGGCTGTCTCGGGAGCAAGGGTCAGTTCCTGCTTCCGATGGCAGCTGGGCTCCTCCTCTGAATGATCACAGCAAAGGAGAAGCTCCTGGATGTGCAACCTGGGAGATGCTCCAGGATGAGCAACTGGCAGAGCACTGATTGTTTTCGTGCTGTAGTTGAATCAAAAAACAACCACAAGCTGAAAGTCAGAGAAAAAATTGGTTGTTTCAGATTCTGCCACGACAATTTTTTTTTTTTTTTTAATTTGCAAGCAAACAAAAGGAGGCAAATTCCCTCAAAATGGACCCACAGTTCTGAGATTAGCAGAACTCAGGTTAATCGGTTGGACTCGATGATCTTAAAGGTCTTTTCCAACTAAAACAGTTCTACAATTCTGTGATTAATTCAGCACCTGTTTACACATTTATCAGAAATGGTTCTTTTCCTTTTCACTCAAGTTTTTCATGTGAGCTGTGGGATGAGTCCTTGCTCATCAACGGCAACTTCCAGCTTTTACAACCCGCCGTCCCTGCCTCACCAAAACTAAAAGAACCGGGATTCTGAAGGGACGATGCTATTCGTTAAGAAAAACGCCCAACCCTACTCGGGAGTCTGTGCATCTAAAATTAGGTGGTTGTTATCTGCCGGTGGGCTTGTCCCTGCAGTACCGCCGCGAAGCCACACGCCCACGAAAACTGATCTCACAGCATCGCTTCTTGGCAAAACCTACTCCCTCGGCTTGTCTCAGCTGAAGATCTACCTACTGCACATCCACTCCTCATCCAGATCATGAACAAGCCCTTTGCAATTACCCCAAGGCTCCCTCTCCCTTCCGCAAACACTCCCAAGCATTAATTCAGCATCAGCAGACAGCCCACCTCTTCTCTAACCCTTCCCAGCTCCCCCTGCCCACGCAAATTTAACTGACCCTGCTATTCCGGGAGAAAGGAAACTGTAGCATTGTCCTAGATATCCACAAAGAGCCTCTAAACGCTTGGATATTACCCGAATGGTGGGAGACATGGCTGCAGTCTGCAGGAGCACAGCCGACAGACCTGTCGTATGGCAATTTTGGGTTGAAAAGAAATCCCAGCATCTTGGACCGGCTCATCGAGAAGCTGTGAGGTTTCTGAGCGAGGCACACTCAGACCACAGCTACCTTCCTAACCGCAATTCAGAAGTGCATTTGGTGCTCTCTTCTACTTAAATTCTTTCAAGTTCCGGGTCAAAATGAAGGTGAAGCAAGTGGAGGATGAGAACGGGCGCAAAAGACTTCCCAAGAGTTTGATACAGCCCTGATCCCACGTAAATCAGAAGTAGGAATAGGCTCCATGCTGCCATATAGTGGGGAATTTGGAAGCTGGAGAGCTGTTAGCTATCTAGCAGTGTAATTGAAAGGCAATTAGCCCTCCAGCATAGATCTTTTAGAGGAATAAGCAGAGGTTTAGGAGCACCTGGGAAAGATGCTCAGGGAGGTCTGCAGCGGGGGCTGGAGCTCACAGAGGTACAGGACTGAACTCCCTGGCACGTACCGCAGCATCGCGGGCCAGCCCGGTGTGAAGTGACGTCTCCGTCTGTTGCTCAAACAGAAACTTCGCTTCTTACTCACACAATTCCACTAACAAATACACCCAAAAGGAAGGGTAGCACTCAGCACGTGTATAAAAACATTGGCCAAGCCTTTTCCTCTGGCACCGTCTTCCCTCTTCCCGGTTCACATCACCCTGGGAGGGACGACAGCAAACACCGTCGTACCCCACTGCTATTTCTGGCTCGACACACCGGCGTTGGAACATGTCGGTGGTGCTGGCTGGGCTTGGCGCTGGGGGACTGGCAGATGGTTTTTGCCAGCCATGAATCACGCCGTGGCGCAGCTCTGGATGGTGAACCTGCGCCGTGTGACCGGTCCCAAGGTCCCTACGGCTCGTCTGGCAGAAACCACGGATGGCAGAGCCGGCTGCCCTCCCACCCCACGCCACAACGAAGGAGTCCTCTCAGCAAAGCTGCTGCGGCAGAGGGGTGCAGAGGTCCTTCTGTGAGCAGAGTCAGCGCCCTGCTTCCCTGTAGCACCATTTTATCTCTTTCATTCACAGAATCACATTTTGGGCACCCCAAGTCCCTGTGCCTACAGCACCCCGCTGCTGACAAAGCACTCGGCATGCACAGCAACCTCCAGACCTGTAGCACCACAGGCAGGCACAGATCACTGGAGAAACACAGCAAACACCTCGCTTCCTCCTTCGCTGGTACACGAAGGCGGCTGCTCCCCGAAAACCTCTGGGATCATCTCCATTCACCAGCAAGCAGGTCCCAGATTTTGAGGTGCTGGATGAAAGACAAGCAGGTACAGCTAAGAGTATGTAAACCTTGCCCACTCCGGTCCCACACACAGCCCCCAGCCATTTCTGTCCTTCGTTGTCCCACAGTCCTCTCTCCAACCATCCACCACTGCAGAATCCCATTTTCTGTTAGAAAATAAGCTCTGCTGGGCAGGACACACTTCCCCCCCACCGTGTGTTTAGTCATTACCTAACACAAAACACTTCTGCTGCGTGGCTAGGAACATCTGTAGTATAAAAGAACCTACAGCAAGTCACCAAATCACTCCGCTTTAGATACCAGAGCTGTTCAGGAATGTATGTTTTTCTCACAAACATTCACTACAAATATAAAATCTGAGACAAAACACGATCCATTTAAATAAAAATCCCTATTCCCTCCCTATTTATATGGAAGAGTTTCTGTCAGATGTCCAGTGGGAGCCCTTTGGAGCCAACTGCCTCCTATTAAGTGCCTGCACACCACCACTGCAATAGGCCCTTGATCCTAATTGGCACCCTTGGGTGCCATCGTTATGTAAATGAGCAATAAGCCTTCCTCACTTCCCAATCCAAACAGTTATTGCAGGCTCTGCTGCACCGTTAAGCACTGCCCAGTTTACTCCGAAATGCTGCGCTTGGAAGCATGACTCCCTTAACACACTTTCCCTGGACAACCTGACAGAGCTGCCTCGGGCTTAATGTTCCCAAAGTGCCCTGGGATCCTGAACTCAACACGGGACTGGCTTGCACAACACCAGCTGAGAGGCGATCGCCCTCGGAAAACAGGCACAGAAGGCGAGGGGTTGCATCCGAGCGCAGGCAGATGTCACTCCTTTGCTGCCGAGCAGCTTCAGCGTGTGCCATGGGCCTTCCCCGGCTCCCCGTTCAGGTCTGTGCTCCTGCCGTGCCCTGACTCCTCACTGAAACAAAGCCAGTCCAGGCATTAATTTTTTTCCCAGTTTTACACTGGTTTCCATGTGGACAGAGCCCACGTGTAAGCCGTGGGCTTGCAGGAAACTCTGGTGTACGGCAGTAGAGTCTTTTACCTTTTACAAGTCCCCAGGTACCATCTGACTCCACTTAATAAAGAGAATAAGAGGCCCAACAGGCTACTCGGTGCCACACAGAGCCCAAAAAACACACCTGCCTCTCTGTTTGCTCCCACCGAGCTGCCCGTCTCTGCACCCAGAGCCGGTGGCATCACCCATCTCCACTCCCAGAGCTGGTTCATGTCCCACACACGGGTGTCGTTTAGGGGCCTTGAATGATGCCCCGCTGCTGGCACGCAGGGAGGGGACATCCGTCTCCCCGCTCCGTAGCCTGCTTTTTCAATGCAGCAGTGCAATGGTAAGAGGATTGGGAAATCAGGGCTCGCTCGTTTCTTGGGTGTCATTAAGGAACAGGCAAAATCTGGAGGATTCTTTATTTGCTGTTTCCAGAACAGAAGAAGGTTGTCCTGGTCTGATGTGGGAACACAGCTTCCAGCAAACGGAAAAATTCCGATGAGATCATGACAAAAGGATTTAGTTACATGTCATGCTGCTGTACAGGTTCTAAACAAAATTAAATGAAAACTGAGGAAAAAAAAAAAAATCACATTGTTCCAAAACACAAAATGAAAAAGTTTCATTACAAAAGGCTTAAGTTGGCCTTTTGTTTCAGGTTTTAACTTTTTTTTTTTTCCCCTCGGGAACAAAAACTTTGTGAAACTTGCATGTGTTAGTGAAAGGGTTGAGTGTAGCTAATTCTGGGGAAAAAAAAAAAAAAATAGGAATTGTGCAAGCCTACCCACAGAGCTGCATCGGGTTCATCGCTGCCAGCCCACAAGGCCAGCTACAGCCTCCCCACAGTACCACAGTCTCCTTTCCCAGGACCCTAGCCAAAAAACCAACCTGAAAGCCCTTGAGAAGACCCTTCTCCTACAGAAATCCAGCAAATGCTCTAGCCACAGCCCGAGCTTTGAGTCTGGGGTAAATCTTCACGTGATCCTAAGGACATACCTGCTTCAACGCAGCTGGCCTGTGCCCTGCTCCTCCGATGGATGCGTCTCCCCGCCACCCTCTGCCCTTAGGCAAGAGCTGAAGCTTTATCCTCACCACGGGAGTGTTCTTCC